AATATAAACATTTGGAATTAGCATATACACATTGCGTTCCAGGTTAGCACATACTCATCTGAAGACAGATATGTCAACACAAACAAAAATAAATCATTAAAGTATGAAAAAAAGAAGAAAATAATTAAAATGAAAAAAATCAAATGATGGTTGCCTCCCGCAAACTCTTCTCTATTAATGAATCGTTAGTTGGACCCATTCTAAACTAAACTACAAAACTTAACTTTCTTCGACAAATATCACAAAAAATGGTTGGTTAACTACCAACCAAATAATCTAAAACTAAATAAAACTATTCCCCGACAATGACGCCAAAAGCTTGATGGTGTTAGTTATAATCTTACTTTCATAAATGAGTTCACCGACATTAGGGACTATTACACAACTAGGAAAGTGTACCTAATCATATGACATTATAGCTTTGGTAAGAAATTAATTAAACACGACGAAAATCAAACGACACTTGGCTCCCACAAGCGCTTCTTTATCAATGAGTCGTTAGTTGGACTCATTCAAATTAAACTACAAAACTTAACTTTCTTCAACAAATATCACCCTAAGTATTGATTAAATAGCAACCAAATAATCTAAACTACATAAAACTGTTTTTCGGCAACGACGCCAAAAAAACTTGATGGTGTTAGATCTAGTCTTACATTTATAAATGAGTTCACCGATGTTAAGGACTATTACACAACTAGGGAAGTGTACCTAATCGTATGAAATTATAGCTTTGGTAAAACTGGGATGTTGAACTCAAAGGGAACGAGTATGATTTAGTATAGAAAATTGAGATGATAATTAAACTAAAAACAATCATTTAAATTAGGGAATTTGCATTTAACAGACTAAAACTTGATGGTGTTAGATCTAGTCTTACTTTTATAAATGAGTTCACCGACGTTGGGGAGCATTATAAAACTAGGCAAGTGTAACTAATCATATAGCATTATAGCTTTGTTAAGAAAATAATTAAAAATGACAATAATCAAACAATGGTTGCCTCCCGCGAGCGCTTCTTTATTAATGAATTGTTAGCTGGTCTCATTATAAATTAAACAACAAAACTTACTTTCTTCGACAAATATCACAAAATGATTGATTAACTACCAACCAAATAATCTAAAATACATAAAACTGTTCCTCGACAACGACGCCAAAAACTTGATGGTGTTAGATCTAGTCTTACTTTTATAAATGAGTTCACCGATGTTACAGACTATTACACAACTAGGCAAGTGTACCTAATCGTATGACACTATAGTTTGATAAGACTAGGATGTTGAAGTCAAAGGGAACGAGTATGATTCAGTACAAAAAATTTAGATTCTAATTAAACTAAAAACAATCATTAAATTAGGGAATGTTCATTCAACAAAATAAAACAAAACAAAGCTAAAAAATTGGAATTGGAAACAAAAATACTAAAGGTGTTTTCACTTAGATTTGATTATCCCCTTTTATTATGACTAGTTCCTATGAATTGCAATGAATATTAGTTGTCATCTACCGATTCTTATATTGCTTAAGCCTCATGGTCCAATTCTAACCCTAATTATAATAAGTACATAAACTCAATGGCCATGATATTACTTTTCCCTATTATTTGTCTTTAGCTCGTATCATGCTAGATTTCATCTTATTAATTTCAATGGTCAAGAAAAAACAATTAGTGAACCAAATGCTCATCATAGGCAATTCTCACACATTAAATTTAATTACTTTATTAATCTAACCATAGGATTTGATCAATTTTTAGTTATCATTTTCTAATTGTTGTCGCACAACTACGATTCTGGAGAAATAATATTACGGAATTATACGAAATCAAACATAAAATAGAAAATGTTAAAGCCTTTATTTAACACAGTGTCCTAAAAACAAATTTTCCCATTATCGGGTTGTTTCCCAGGATATAACAGTTTGAAGTGATTATTTTAAATCACCCAAACCTAAATTAAACTTAGATTTTTATCTTGAAAGAGCAATAAAACGAAGAAAAATTTGGAGAAGAAGAAGTCTATAGGATTAATGTGTAATTGATAACAATTAATTACTAAAATTAATCACAAGTTTTGTAACTGAAAATAAGTGATAATTCGATAATTAAGTCTTAGTTTTCAGGTACAAAAAAGAAAGAGATATTGCAAAAAAAAAGTCCCTCAACTTACCCACATGATGAACTTTAGCACACAAGTTCAAGTCTTACAAAGTTTATAAGCTTTTATACATATATAACCACTTTCTTTTCATTCTCTCACCCCCGTGGGATAAACTAAAACATATTAAACTTCTTTTTTACTTCTTCCAACACCCTCATTTTAAGGATTAATTTTTCATTTATCATAAATCCGTTTTGGACATTTGATATATCAAACTGGAGATATCATGAAGGAGAAGACAAACATATAACCATTTATTCATTTAATAATGGTTTAGGGTTCAAATTTCGTGTTCAAAAATGAGGAAACCCCATTTTTATAAATTGGTTAAAACCAATTTTCCAACCGATTCAAGCCAACACAGTCAGAATGGTTATCTATAATATATTAACTCGGCAATAGGTTATAAAGATAGAGACTTTAACACATATAAATCTTTGATCAAACAAACATGATAAAATAAACAAGTACTAAATATCTAAATCATAAATATCAAACCATAACCTTAGGGTTCATCTATTCTTAGTGAAAGCAAATAGTTTTTAGCCGATAATCATAAAATAAAGAACAAAAGGAAATCATAAAACGTATGCTAAACGTAATTGGATACAGAAACCAAATGAATTCCTAATGATTCAGCTCTTGGTGCTCCAAATCCTTGCTCCAAATTGTATATACTGCCTTGAAATCCCCTAAAAGGAGCATCTAGTTGCTCAAAAATCATTAATTTCTGCTTGTTTGCGGCTGATTCTGCCTTAGGTCAAACAATAAGCTCTAGTTATATTTTTATTACCCGATGTATTACGTGTCTCATATGGAAAATAGATGCATCACATTCTTTAACTCTTTATGCATGATTTGAACTCTTCAGCCCTGATACGTCATGTGATTCGATTTGTATACGTCACATTTTCTTTTGTTGGCACTTTATTTCTGGTTCTTCAGTTCCATTTCAACTTCTAGCTCCTTTTCCCTAGATATTTCTTTCCATATACAAAATACAAATCTAAGCTTAATGAGTATCATTTATCTTAATTTATCGTAAATAAATCTCAAAATACCAAAATATTGCGTAAAGTATATATATAATGATAGTGATATCAATTTTGACAATTGAAATATGTCACACCCCCAAACCAGGATGGCGGAAACGTCCGGAGGTGGATGAGTTTCATGTATTGTATCATAACAATTGAATAATAGTAAAGAAAGCAAACACAACCATCATATACATAATTGAAAATTTTACATCATTGTAACTATTAAATGTTTCAGAAGTCAATTACATTATGATGTCAAAATGATTTGTTTGACGCCTTAGCGTCCCATCCTCAAAAGCTGGTGGTTACCTGTTTTACTGATTCCTTGAGAATACAAGTTGTTTGAAAAAGTGTCAACATTTAAGTTGGTGAGTTCATAAGAGTTTGTTATAAACAATAGGAAGCCTTTTCGTGAAAAGATATCGTGTTGTTTCCAGAAAATCCAAATTTTCTAATAAATGAGATGTAAGCCGTTCACTTGTAAAATGACAGTGTTTATTCCATAAAAATCCAATATTTTCTGTAGAAATGAGTTGTAGTCTTAAATGTTCCAAGACCAAAATGTACCCGTGTTTTCCATACTTAAAGTAGTAATATGTAGTTTTATTCGTGTATAAAACCATTTGAAGAAAAGTATTTTCGTGTAAAATGTACGTATAGTCGTTTCCCCATGTGAGTTTTCATAACCGTGCTTTTAAGATGAAGTGCCTGCCTCGTCGTTCTTCAGGCGCCGAGTTATTTATGACATTTGTCACCCATAACCTGCCGGTCTGACTGTGGCTAGTAGTTAGGGTGTGGGATCATCAGTCCCGTGTAGATCTATACACAAGTATCACGCTCTCGTATCGGAGATTCCGGTTATAAATATAGGACTTTCTGTATACCTCAGTTAGGTACGATGAAGACAGTGTCTCACAAATTTAATCAACGAGTGTACATGTTTTTGAAATGAAAATGTTTGAACATGAAATTATCCCTCTTTCCAGGATAATATCGAAAATGTCGTAAAACCAATGATATATGTACTTTATATAGCTTTTACCATTTTCTCAACGGGTTACAAAGGGGTAAAGTTTCGTAAACTATATTATAAAGTTTTAATGCAATGAACGTTTTGTATTTGAAATATATATATATATATATATATATATATATATATATATATATATATATATAGAAGTAAGTTCAAATAAAAACAGTAAATAGTGTGAGAACGTAAAAACACTATGTTTATGTTATTATTCTGTAATGAATTTTGTATATGTGTATTGTTGAAATAATTCTAATATAAATATTAACTTTCGATTAGTCATATATTCATTACAATGTTATTATTCTATTATAAACTTATGTATGTGCATTTTTGTAGTAAATTCTAATTTTAATTTTAACCTTTGACTATTCATTAATTCTTTGCTGAATAATGACATAAAGTTGTCGATACAAAATTCATTGCAGAATAATAACATAAAAAAGTGTTTTTACGTTCTCACACTATTTACTGTTTTTATTTGAACTGTCCCCTATATATATATATATATATATATATATATATATATATATATATATATATATATATATATATATAGAGAGAGAGAGAGAGAGAGAGAGCTAGGTTCAAATGTGGATTAATAATTATTGTGTGGATGTAAGGCTCCTTTGTGGTCCAAACATTTTAAAAACCTAAATAAGGGTGAATTATAATCTTACCTTTAATTTAGCAAAATTAACGGAAATCAGTTTACATCTATAACTATTTATTCTTTTGTAAACCCTCAACCCTCTAAAATGTTTTTTACGTCTTCTCCATTTCCTTCTCTAAAATCACCGGCGATATCTGCTCTCACCTATCTGATGAATATCATCCACCCATGCCTCATCAATTTTGCCACTACTCTCCGCCTTATCTCCCTCATTCACCTCTAATTCTAGGGATTCTACAATTCTCGTGAGTTTTCTCAACTCCAACGACCTAGGGCAAACAAAGTGAGAAATCAAGTCGACCCAGCCCCTGATAATTTGTGGAGTCAGGTGCACCGTAGAGGATCATGTACTACCATATCGTACCGCAGTATCAAACAGAAGAGAGTATGTATAATGCCATAAGAAGATTCGGGAAAGTTCAGTATGACACTCTTCACCTGCCACATAAGGTGATGGCCCAGGAGGCCGATGGGTCGGTAAACTTCGGCGACGGCGAGGAAACTGTTTATTTATTCGATCCCGACATTTATACCGACGGAAGAATATCGATTCAGGGGATAGATGGGGTTTTATTCCCGTCGACGACGGAATCAGATTTGAAGAAGACGAAGACTGCAAAAAAGGTTGACCATGTTAAGGTCATTCCGAAAACTCATAGAGGTACGTCGATCTTCTTCCCGCACTGAATTTATGTCTTAAAGCTTTTTAATTTATGTCACCGGAAACAATGGTGGTCTATTCTCCGGGGAATTTTTGTTTCATTTAAAGATTACAATTTTTTATTCGAACTTAAAAAGAAACTAACTATTAATTAATAAATTTTCGTTGGCTTACGAAGGTGTTTGCAAGCATTTTTACTGATCAATCATGAATAGGAGAAAAGGGGATAAAAGTTTGTTATTCTCATGCTAATCATTCTGACAGATTTCGATATCATGGAAGTTATTCTAAAAGAATTTATGATCGCGGGCTTGAAGGTAATAAAGAAAAATGGTGCATGAAGGGGAATATGATGATCAATGGCCTAAAGGTTGGATGATGAATAGCAGAAAAGGGGATAACAATTTGTTATTATCACGCCAGTCATTCTGACAGAATTCGATATCATGGAAGTTATTCTAGAAGAATTTTTGATCGCGGGCATGAAGCTAATAAAGAAAATTGGTGCATGAAGGGGAATATGATGATTAATGGCCTAAAGGTTTGATGATGGTGCATGGGATGAAGATAAACAATGGTCATTGATCTTTCTAAAAGAAAACAATGTTCATTGTCATATTGTTATCAAAATGTATCAATCAACATATATTCTTTTAAATTGGACCAAAATTAATATTTTAGAACGCATCATCAACATATTCTTATTTTTGTTTATGTATTTTACTTCGATAATGTTTTTTTTTGTATCTCATTCTTCAAGAATGCAAAATAAAAATTGTTCTTTCTAAGATTTTTCAATCTCATAGAATATCATTCTAACAGAATCAAATCGTTTATGATTTAAAAATTATGTTAGAACTGAATTAACTAAAAAAAATAATATTTTAAAATTTAAAAAAATCTAGTATCCGTTAAAATCCGATAATTTACATTTTTAAAAATAATTTAATTTAGCAAAAATGCTTGGACCACAAAGGAGCCTTACATCCACACAATAGTTACAATCCACTTTATAACCTAACCCTATATATATATATATATATATATATATATATATATATATATATATATATATATATATATATATATATATTTGTACGGATAATGTAATGATTTTCAAAATGTTGTTCGTGAAATCATACGCGATTGATAGTAAAACCATTTCATGTATTTAACGCTTTTCGTAAAATAGTATAGTAACGTATTCAAAATGTCCGCGTTATAAAGAAAATATTATTGTGTGTTACTTGTATTCCCCACCCAAAAACATAGAAAAAGTCTTGAAAATGTAGGGGTATGAACTCACCTTATATGTAGTTGCGGTTTGATAACGAGACAACAATGGTGAACTTTGAGTTAGAATACGGGAAGGATGTCGTAACCCTAATAGTTTTAAACACATGATAATGTGTGATTTAGATGATACTAACCATGAAATGTTTGAAAAAACACTAGAGTTATATACGACTTACAATAATGAGTTAAGGATCAAACTTGAAGAAATGTGCTCCTGGAAGTGTTTGAATATGAGTATTGAAAGGAAAAGAGTTTGAGGTTGAGAGCAATGTGGAGAATTTTCGTTTACTGGAAGTGTGAAATGAACTCCATTTGGTGATTTAAATAGGAAGGTAATAAGATAATATTATGAGGTGATGTTTGCATTGAAATGTGAAATTATCTCATTGGGAAGTTAAATATCCAATCAAGTGGCACCACTTGGCCACTTTCATGTTGATTTCGGCCTAACCAAGACCAAAATCTCCTTGATTTCAGTTTGGCATCACCCATAAATGGGTGATTCCGGTCATAGTGGAAGGCACAAGGTGATTTCGGCCATAACCAAAACCGAAAACTCAACTTGATCCAAGATACCCTAAACCGAAAACTCAAAGTTTTTAGATTCCCTAAACCGAAAATCTCATATGTAAGGTATTTAATTTGGATTTTAACTTAACCTTTTGACTTATGTTGACTCATATTATCCTATTTCAACATGGTATTTAGTATATATAAATATATCAACGTATATAAACATATATATATATATATATATATATATATATATATATATATATATAAGCATATATAAACATGTAAAAGCATGCCCTCATGACTAATGGTGATTTAATGCAACAAGGTTACAATGTGGTTGTGCTTATGTATAATACATCTTTTGACTTGGCTTGGCTCCTAGTTTGCCAGTTGTCACAAAAATAACTTGTCCTTTTTTCTTTTACCTTTTGTACTTATTATCCTTTTGTTGTGTATTCTCACATCTTTGGTATTGTTACTAAAACCCATATCTTTTATTCATGAGTCTTCAAAAGGAGTAGTCTTCTAATATATTTTGACCCACCAAACCTTCAAGTGGTTATGTCTTGTATTCTCATTTCAGACTGTTCACTAATGGCTATTGTTACCCTTAGTTAAGTGTTGACTAATGACTATTCATGAGGAAAGAACATTGGGCAGCACCAATGTCATACAATGCCTTCGTAAGGTTGCCGATGGACATTTTACAGGAAAACATTTAAACCACAAATGGTAAGCACAAAGCTTAGTGAGTTCCCCAATATACCACATACAACACAGCACAAATAAACAGCTATGGGTTATATGCAACCATGGAGACTACTCGAAGTCTCACTGAGCAAACGGCACGCCCTGTGGGTTATCAGCGACCATGGAGAGTACCTGAAGTCTCAGTGGGAAACCAGCATGCCCGGTGGGTTATCAGCAACTCTAGAGACTACCTGAAGTCACAGTACATAGTAACACATATTATAGTAACAAAAAATAAGACCCAACTAGTATGTACATATATACTACAACACATTCTCATAAAAACATGCAAGAGTCACAAAGACAGCTAGCATCCTACATACATAATTTAGTGAGCCGACATTAGTACCTTCGACTCACAAGCACATGGAGAAGGCCTCACCTGAATCGAAGAACTATGAAATACAATGATCCGATCCATTTTCTGCACTGCTTGCACTCGCGTACCCACTAACACCAGAACCAGATACAATCATAATTAATACCCCAAAATACTCAAGTTTGACCCAAGTTCAAACTTGGTTAAAACGTCAACGTTCGAAGGATGTCAAAGTCAACAAGTCCAACTTCAGGCTGAGTACGCCCAGCGTACTCATCTCGTACGCTTGACGTATTCACCATCTAGGGACGGGACTCCACACGAGTACGTGCAGCGTACTCAAAGGTACACCCAGCGTACTCAGTCAAATGGCACTTTTCCATTAAGTGCTTATTCTCTTAAGTCCTTTCATCCAACACTCAGATCTAGTCCCATAACATCATTCTAAGCCATAAAGTTCCCACCTTTATGACTTTCCATCTCTAGAAAAGGTCCAAAAGCCAAAACCCTAACTTATTAATCCATTAAGACATCATGACACTTGCATGGAAGGAATAGAAGGACCAAGATCACATTTTTTATGGATCCTAAAAGCTCCATAATGGATAAAGTTTCCAACTTTATCCATTAGAATGGTCCAAACCACCAAGATCTAGTTTTTAAGTCTCAAAGGGACCAAAAGAGCATCTCTTTCAACTTAATCCATTAAGTCCAAGTCTCCAGCCTTTAGGTCTGAATCAATATGATGTTTAGATGGATAGAGTTTCCAACTTTATCCATAATAAGTTCACAACCTTTCAAGATATAAACTTTATGCACTAAAGTGACCAAAAGCTCATAACACCCAAAACTAGTTAGATCTAACAAATGCATCATCAAGATTCAAGATTTATACCTCTAGAAGAAAGATAAAGGTGAACAAACTATGGATCTACAAGCTCCATTGCAACCAATACTTCTACAATGAGTTCCTTCTTCTCCATGATGCACCAAGCACACTCTAAAGCACTCAACAAAACCTTCTTTTTGCTCACAAGGCTCAAACTAGGGTTAGGGTTTCAAGGGAGGGTGTTGGAGAGGTAAAGGCAGAGAATGGAATGGGTTTGGGGAAGTTAAGGCGCTTAAATTGGGCTCAAACCATGAAAATAGGGTTTAGGAACTGATCGGGTACGTCCAACGTACTCCTGGTACGCCCAGCACACAAGGGATGCCCTAGTACACCCAGTGTACTTTCTGTACGCCCAACGTACTAGACTAAGTCCAAAACCTTCCTAACTTCTAACGATCATAACCTCTTCGTTTCAACTCCATTTTCGACGATCTTTATATCCACAAAAAGGTATTGAGCAGCTATACAACCCTATCTAATTACTTTTGACATAAAACACATCAAACTAAAATATTTAATTCATAAAAGAAGTCTGAAACTCCATTTTTCCCATTTTACCCTTTGACTCCAAAGCACAAACCAAACTCTTTGGTCACATAATCTACACTACCCACATCCAAATGGGTCTAAACCTCTCCTTCCCAAATCCCAAAGCCTTATGATACTTGATCTTCGGTTCATGGCCTCGAATTATGAAACGACTCGAAATAGGGTGTTACAACTCCCCCCCCACTTAAATTAGATTTCGTCCTTGAAATCACTCCATGCTACCTTTCAGGAAATCAGATGATCCGACCACAACCTACAAATCCTTGATAAAATTTGACCCTAACATACGATAGCCTTCCAATAATCGAACCCATCCTTAGCAGAACCCACATACTAACGACAAACGAATCCTTGCTCTCGTTGACCTTAACCAATAAAGGACAACATCACTACTCAGCTCAAAACCAGGAATCCAATATCTTATCTGAGTTCTCGACATGCAAAACCATTCTGAATCACAGCCAATATGGATCCACTTCGCAATCTAATCCTTACGACCTTAAATTATCTTGCTTTTCCAACATTCATATTTCCGATCTATCCAAGATCTTTTGAGCTCCGAGATGATCTACCAGTTATCTGAAGCACCGGATTTCCGACCAGTCGTTAAAACGACATCCTTTCAAACGACTACACCATGAGACTCTGTCTAATAGTCTGTCTGGAAAAGCTACCCTAACCTACTTATATATAAGGCTTCAACAACCCTCCTGTTCTAACCAGGGATGACATAACCACCATCACACCGATTCAACGTAAATTATTTTTCTCTAAATGAATGTTACACGCCTATTTGTAGTCCTACATCACAACCGACCCCATATGGTCCACAACCTTCCTTGTTTACATAAATTTTGTGGCCTTCCCACAGTCTCACTATCCATCCTGCCATGGTCTAATCCTACCTGGAGGAAACTATGAGCCAAATCGTAGATTCATCACACTCTCACAGCTGCTCATGGACCAGGTGAATGTTACAGGTCACCCTGCAGTCTTACAACACTTCTATCACTACTTGTTAACCAAGTGAATGCTACGGCCACCGCGCAGTCTTACAACACTTCCACAACCGCATCCTATCCTAGTGAATGCTACGGCTGCTCCGCAGTCTTACATCACTCCCACAACCGCACACTAACTTGGTGAATGTTATGGCTGCTCTGTAGTCTTACATCACTCCCACAACTGCATATTAACCAAAAACACTATAAGTCAAAGCCTTGTCCTACCAGACTCTATCAGGTGTTCGGGTCGTGCTTTAGACCCCCAAATCCTTCATCATTTGTTCCGATGCTCACCACTGACCAGTGAACGCTTTGCCTTGCTTAACCCTGAACCCCGCAACCAGAATTGGCTCTCTAGTTGACTTA